TGGACAACGCCGGACGGCAACCCAAGTAGGACAAAATTGACATATGGTTGTGTGTGAAAATGTATATCTCTAAAATGTGTGTTGGTGTATGATCACATTTGTATATGAAAATGTCTGAAGTTCATAAAAACATTCTCAGTGTTCAAGTCAATCACTGCAAAGGGTGACGATATGGCAGAAGGTGCTATATATATATATATATATATATATATATATATATATATACATATATATATATATATATATATGGAATTTTGTATATATATATATATATACACAATTCCAAGCTGGTAAGGACTCTTTCAAATTTAGCAATAATAGTCTGAAGAAAAGGACTGATAACAGAGATTTGCTCTAATATGTATTCAGTATGATAGGCTCTGTCTTAACCCCAAATAATAAAACACAAAAGTCTTCATTCTGTCAGATGCAAAAGTCTTCATTCTGTAATAAAACACAAAAGTCTTCATTCTGTCAGATGAAAAAGTCTTCATTCTGTCAGATGCAATGCAAATCACCGTTTGTCACATGTAAAAACTCTACAAATCACCGTTTGTCACATGTAAAAACTCTGCAAATCACCGTTTGTCACATGTAAAAACTCGCGAATGCGCAATGCATATTTTGTCACATGTAAAAACTTGCGAATGGTTCAGACGGTCTAGATGTCAATTTTGTCCTACTTGGGATGCCGTCCGGCGTTGTCCAATATGGCGGATATCTCGCACATGCGCACAGCAGATCGGGCAGAGCTGCAGATCGGGTAGTGACAACGGCAACTCTGCAGAATCCTATGGGTGACGTCACGGACCCTACGTCCATTTGGAGGGCCGGCCCGCAGGGAGGAGCCTGCAGAAGCTATATAACAGCAGCACCTGAGCTGTTCGGTCTCTTTTCTCTGCTAGCGAGGGCCAGAGACAGCTGCTTTTCTGTCGGACAAATATCCTGTTTGTGACTTTACCGCGCTTTTTATTACCAATTTGAAAACATCTCAGAGACTCCATTTAGTCTCCTTTTTAAGCTTCTCTTTCCTGGACGCGAGAATAACCATCACAGTTAACAGTAAGTACAAAATGTATAGGAGCTGTAAACAATTACATTTACTTGCATTCACTTTGATCAAAGCTCAGTTATGCTACATTAAAATAGCGACCGCCATTACACACACGCGCACAAAGCAACCACGAGGCAGTCTCCTACGCACAGGCATGAGAATCACTCACCTTTCGGCGAAATTCGCCGTTTTGAATCCAAAATAGGTCGTTTGTGTGATTCATGTAGATCTGCAATAACAATATTTTTGGGGTATGGGGGGGTCTGGGACCCGGAATAATCTGCGGGCCGCGAGCTGTTATGTGCCGTCATGACACGCATGGTGTTCTTTTTTTATATATTATAATGCAGCGCGAGCTGTGTGCTCGAGTCTTCCTGCCTGTCGGCTCTGCTGCTCCGCGATGATGGTCTAGCTTCAGCAGCCACATTACGGGTGCGTTCGTTAATATTAACTGTGCGGTCCGGAGTCACTGTGGTACAGACTGGACCGCTGTTAGAACGGGCCGTTCAGGTGTTCAGAGCAGAGCTCCCTGTCGGAGCGCAGAGCGTGATGTAAACTGAAAAGTTTTTCTGTCGCAATATTATCGTTGAGCTAGCTAGCTAGCATACATTGTCACTATCTGCTAACGTTAGCTTTAGCCTTCGTTTTCTAATAGTTTTTCATAGGCTATAAACGGAGGTGGTATAAGTATAGATCTTGTACTTGAGTAAAAGTAGAAGTACTCAGATTTTGTACTTGAGTAAAAGTAGAAGCACTCAGATCTTGTACTTGATTAAAAGCAGAAATACTCAGATCTTGTACTTGAGTAAAAGTAGAAGTACTCAGATCTTGTACTTGATTAAAAGTAGAAGTACTCAGATCTTGTACTTGAGTAGAAGTACTCAGATCTTGTACTTGAGTAGAAGTACTCAGATCTTGTACTTGAGTAGAAGTACTCAGATCTTGTACTTGAGTAGAAGTACTCAGATCTTGTACTTGAGTAGAAGTACTCAGATCTTGTACTTGAGTAGAAGTACTCAGATCTTGTACTTGAGTAGAAGTACTCAGATCTTGTACTTGAGTAAAAGTAGAAGTACTCAGATCTTGTACTTGAGTAAAAGTACTCACGTAAAACACATATTTTTAGTAAAGAGAATATATCATTTTGATCAATGAAATCCTTTTTTTAAAACCAAAAATCTGTTTCACATAAAAAATGTTTTACAATAAATAAATCATTCATTTAATTAAATATATTTCTTAAATAAACAAATTACTTTAAATTAAAGAAAGTGTTTAAAGGAATAAAAATACATTTTATATCAAGTTTCATCACTAACTAGAAAATGTATAGCTATAAAAACTCCTATTTCTTAATAAAATACATTTAAACTAAATTAAGAAATATATTTTCAGTCAAATAATTGTTCTTAAACAGAAACAAATCATGTCTTTAAATTAGGGCCGGGACTTTAACGCGTTAATTAAGATTAATTAATTACACAAAAATTAACGCGTTAAAAAAATTAACGCATTTTAATCGCACTTATTTTTGCACCGCGGAACGTTTCTCACTGGATGAGTTTCAGGCGTACCGATTATACTGGAGCACCAACTAACGTTCATGACTTCAGACAACAACAAACCACAGTGAACAACAGTGGGAAATGTTGTTTTAAAAAACGGACGGATGGAAGCGTCGATAAGAGCACGGTTGTGTGCAAATTATGCAAAAAGGAATTCGCATATCACCGCAGCACATCAAGCCTCAAGTATCACCTCAATGCAAAACATATAGCAGCTAGCGTGGAAGCTAGCGTGGACGTTAGCCTCTTTTATCGCGTTCACACCAAAAAGAGCCGGAACTAAAATTAGTTCATGAGAACCTTTTTACCCCCACGAAAGTCCCTGCTAGAGAGCAGAGAGCTGCTAGAGAGCAGGGACTTTCGAGCGGCTCTCTTGTGAGAAAAGAGCTATATTTCTGATTGGCTGGGCGGATTGCAAACCACGCCCCGTAAAACTCCCAAAAAGTTTTGTGAAGCCGCCATTTTATTATCCTCGCATTAGCATTATTAGCATTAGCATTAGCCCAGCGCAGAAACGCAGAGAGACTAACTTATGGCAACACAAAATAAAACATGGGGAGCGGTGGAGATGAGGAGGTGTCGGCGTTCTGGCGATTTACTCGGAAGGCTGCTGGGACTCCCAGCAGCTTCTACTGAAGCCAGTCCCCAACTCCGGGGACTTCCGGCCGGGGACTTTGGGCGGCAGTATACGCCGTGAAGTGGTTTGCGGCCTGCCAGTAAACCCAAAGAAGAAGAACAAGTGACGTCAGCGGCTTCATTTGCCTAATCCACCCCCAGGTTCAAAGAGTTCTCATGAACTAAATTCTCATGAACCTTTGTGGGAAAAGTACTGCGGTGTGAATGCGCCTAATGGTATACTAAAATCCATGTGAAAAAAATTGCTTCTCACTGTTCTTAGGTCAAATATTTATATGTGATTAAAAATGCGATTAATTTCGATTAATTAATTACAAAGCCTCTAATTAATTAGATTAATTTTTTTAATCGAGTCCCGGCCCTACTTTAAATCAATCAAATTATGTTTCAATCAATGAGGTTATAAGTTTTTCCAAATAAAAAATATTTTAGACATTTAACAAAATACAATAACCAAATGTATCAATAAAATACATATTTCATAATATTCAATAAAAACTTCATAAATTAATGTTATTTTGATTTCAATATTAACATTATATTAAAGTATTCTCTTGTTAGAAAGAAATATTGCCTTAATATATTAAATGATTTTGATCACAATAAAATAATAGTATAATAAATCATTATAAATGTTATAATGAAAATTACTTTTGAATCATTAAAAAATGTATTTAATAAAGTTATTTTAGATATTAATAGCATCTTCTTTTCAAACCTTTAAAAAAAAAATCTATTAAATACATTTTCATCAATAAAAATAAATACAATACTTTTTAGCAAGTATTACGAATAAAATATATTTTTTAATTAATACATTAAAGGTGGGGTAGGTACGTTTGAGAAACCGGCCAATCATCTGAGCCGGCCCGGCTAAAGTAACTGGATGGCCTACCTGCCTGTCAGCCTTCCATCTGTGCACAAACTTATCTCGTGCTCTCATTGGTCATGTGCGCGTTCGTGTGTTGGAGGAGGGGCTCTGTGAGGAAGTGGCAGATTTGTTCCGACTGTGTATTTTCAAATTCTAGCGCACTCGAGCCGGTTTCTCCAAAATTACCTACCATTAATAAAATAACATTTAAATTCAAAATATTTTAAAATCTATTAAATTGTTTTTTCAGACAATTTTGCATAGTAAGAAAATATGTATTAAAGATCCCATGTCATGGCCATTTCTACTGACTGTAAGGGAAACTTCTGCAGCAATGGAGAGTCAGGACTCAGAGAGACGCAAGGAGAGTTGGAGCTTTGATGTCAAACACTGGTAGTGTATTACAAGTATCGGACGGCGAATTTCACATCACAAGTCACAGCAGCCAGAGGTTCTGACTGCACGGGTGGGTTGCCACATCAATTCTGCCCAGCCTCTCTCTCGATAGACCTTTTAACTAGTTTACAGAGAGTTCTGGGAACATTGGAGATAGCCCCAACATCTGGAGACACTCAATCACTTGTCTGACTCTTAGGCTCTGTGACCGATAGTTGCCCGGTCATGAAAATAATATCAACATTATAGCTGAGGCCTCCCATTCCTTAAGACAGATAACAGAGTCAGGGTGGGTCATACACGTCAACAGGCAGAATTATTCCCTCACACTGATCATAATTCCATTGTTGAGGTCTACTAGAATAGATTCACATTGTTCAATGTTCCAAACTCACATTGGTTTCAAACAGCATCTCTGTATAGTATGTGTATTCACTCTCTGTCCTACACGGCTTGTTGGAGCTCCTGCCCCCCCCCCCCTCCCTATGAGCCCAGTGACCGTCTGCGAGACAGCGAAACCCAGCCCGAAACCAGCCCGACACCCGCAGCCTGGCTGTGAGTCGGTGTGTGTGCTCACACACCGACTCACAGTCTCGCCGCATCCCGCCATCTCAGGGAGGAGAAATCGGCGGAGCTGCAGCTGAGAAAAGATTGAGTGTGTGTGTGAGGAAGTCCGGGATTGGTCCATTTGGACCAATCCACGGACATAACGTAACGGCTCCACGGATTGGGCTATTTGCATAAAAACCTTCATAACACACAAGGGGACGGGTAATAACCGGAAAAGCATGACATGGGACCTTTAATGAATGAACTAATTTCAGTCGGGTTTAGGAGTCATTTTGCTGACTCGTGTTAACTGAGAGGAGACGCCATCTTTATCTTTGTCTGATATCAGTATTAGGATGCAGCAGCAGAGACCTGGACCCAGCTGTAAAAGGAGAAGGTTTGTGATCCGGCTGAGCTGTTGAAACATTTCTTATTTAGATCTAAACCGTGAAATATGATTCCTGATATTTGAGGCAGAAATAGTAAATGCAGTATAATAATCCAGATCTAGTTTTGAATTGACTAAATCACATTTTTAAAATCAAGTAATTCCTAAACCAATAATAATTCAACATCAGTAAAATCTTTTTTTAAATACAATGAATGAACGCAATCATTAATAATCTTTGGGAGGGTCCAAGTGAAATCACAAGTCATGAGACGGGAGCCAGAACTCTTACTGTTATTATTTCTTAATAAAGAACAGAGCCAAACCGAGCAGGGACATTTCTGTTGAGGATTGAGAACCCAGAGCCATAAAGCACCAGGAACAAGGACTCCTTCATCTGTCCGGCTGGGGTTCAGTTATTCTTAAAGATGATTTCCCTGTCCGAAAACCAGTCAGTATCTGGTGTGAGGGGTAGGGTTAGGGGTTAGGGTAATGTTGTGAATCGAGTGGCCTGTGTTCGTCGTCCATAACATAACCCCACCACCACCATGGGCCACTCGATTCACAACATTACCCTAACCCTACCCCTAACCCTCGCACCCAATACTGACTGGTTTTCGGACCCCCCCTCCAGACCCCCCCAATAAAGCAAAACTGCATGTTTCAGAGTGGCCTTTTATTGTGGCCAGCCTAAGGCACACCTGTGCAATAATCATGCTGTCTAATCAGCATCTTGATATGCCACACCTGTGAGGTGGGATGGATTATCTCGGCAAAGGAGAAGTGCTCACTATCACAGATTTTTTCAGATTTGTGAACAATATTTGAGAGAAATGGTTATTTTGTGTATATAGACAATGTTTTAGATCTTTGAGTTCATCTCATGAAAAATGGGAGCAAAAACAAAAGTGTTGCGTTTATATTTTTGTTCAGTGTAGTTTGTGAGTTGTCATGATGGTTTGAATCCCCCTTTCTATTCCCTCTATTTCATGCTTCAATAACCAAGCAACACTTTTCTCCCGTGTACATTTTGCATATATAGTTTGCATGTTTGTAGTCGTTCTAACACTTATCGATGCAGAGAAAATGTGTAATCACATTTAAATTGTATTTTTAATAATGTAGACACACACACAAGCAAATTGCAGACTTGAAAAAAATAACCATTAACAAATGTCAAGTAACCAGAAACTGCCCTCTATTCTTTATGTTGTGCAGGCCCATCATTACTGCATTATTAACCTGTTAAGCCCCATGCCACTGCCGGCGGGGGCTAAACCCAACATCTTGCAAGAAACAGCGTCTGAGGTTCTTCTTAACATTTAACAAACTATGAATGTGTCATACCCACCTAACGGGAAGAAACTCAGCTAACTGACGATAGTAACAATTTTTACCGAAACAAAACAGCTGAGATTCTACAGATTCCAATGGTATAAGTCTCATCACTGCACGGCCAGAACTCACTGAGCTAGCAGCCAGAACAGAGCAAGAAAACAATATCCGGTTTCAAAACCATAACAATAATTACGTCTTACCTTTTCTGTTTTGTGACCAAAAGTTGTGTTCAAGGGAATAAAAACGCTGCTGAAGGTTAATCCAATGTCTCTGTGGCACGTTGAAATGATTCCTGATCTTTTTCATTTCATTTCAAACCTTTATTTTACCAGGTGAATCCCATTGAGATCATCAATCTCTTTTTCAAGGGAGACCTGCACTGCATTGATAATCCATCATAACATTTATGGCAATAAACCGGGTATAAAGTTTAGCAGTCCAGGGCTTCAGCTTTCGGATATGCTGCTTGCGCATCATTCTAACTGACCAATGGTAATGTGTATATGGGATTTAAGAACTTCCACTCGATTCTATTGGCTATAACGGTTAAAAAAAAAGGTGTCAATCACCCAAATCGACCAATGGGTTCCAGAGATATGGTCCTGCGTAACATATCAATTATGACAGCCAGCTCCGGTTTGCAGCAGGACACAGAGCGGACAGCAGATATCAGAGCAGATTACAAGGATGCTTATTTCTTTGAGTTTAGGACTTTTTCTTTACGTTGACTTTTGTCTTCTCTTTCCATTTTGTCAAATAATGGCAGGCAGGACACCGAAGAGGAACCAGAAATGCTGGATGATTACTCACCTGTTGATTCTTTGTCGGATGATGAGGACTCCCAGCAGTCAGAACGTGACACGGACAGTAGTGACCCTGATTTTGGACTTCCAGATCGGGAAACGTATGTAATCTCGTACTTGTTTGTATCTATTACTTATTTATTTGGTGTAAGATTATTCATCTATAGTAAATTCACACACTCAAAATGGATGCCATGTTTGCTTGCCTGCAGGAATTATTTACCAACATTTATTTATCTATTTTTTAAAAACACTTGTATTCGGATGGAATTAATACCTTGTAGTGGTTCGACTATAGTTGCTGGGGTGCCAGTCAGGTCCGACCTGACCATTTATAGTTAAGATCGAGTCAAACCCTACAAAGGGTACATGTTACTGATGGGAAAAACATACAGCACATGCCCCTCACCAGTACAATATTTCTGTATTTTCAATATAGTAAATTAATACCTTGGAACAAAAACACACAACACATCTCTTTAAATACAGACAAATAATATATTCAAGTGTTCAAGAACAGTGAGTCCCATGTGAGTGAAAAAAGTGTAATAAATATAGTTCATGAAAAATAGTCCAACAAAAATAATATAATCCACAAAACTCTGTTCCAGATTTTCTTTGTGGATTTCCCGGTTATTCCAAAACAATAATCCACATATCGTATTAGTTTCAGTTCAGTTCACCAACCAAAGAAAACACATCTTCGTTTAACTTCCCCCCATCCTCCCACACGACACTTTAAATAAATACAGATTACCCTGCTTCGTGTAGTCAGGGCTGAGTATAAATTCCAGGCTTTGTTATACGCCCAACCCGGAAGTGTAGCGCCTGCCGGCATTCTACTTACAGTTCCATGTGCTGCTCTCAGCAAGCAGAGAAACAGCGATCCAACGGGGCCGAGCACCAGCTCCCGTGCAGCCAATAGAGGGGTTTATTCCCCCGTGACGATCGCGCCGTCCGTCAGCGTCTCCGATTCCTCAAAACAAAACTCTTCCATTTTGGTTTGCTCGCTTCTTTTATAGACCCGCCTTGTCACAGCTGACGAGACATTTTTAATGGCTTGTGGAGGAGTGGACGGGAGGTTTTGTATAACAGGAGGGATTGTGTGTGTTGGTATGACAGGCAGAATCGCTACATTCCCCCCCCTTGTAAAAACCAAACATGGGGAGAAGACCATCTGCCACAGCTTCCTCCCTAAAAACCTGGGAAATCCTGCTCATCACTTCAATCAATCAATCAATGTTTATTTATATAGCCCAATATCACAAATGTTACATTTGTCTCAGTGGACTTTACAGTTTGTACAAAATATCAGTATGACAATACGACACCCTCTGTCCTTAGACCCTCACATCGTACAAGGAAAAACTGCCGAAGAAAACCCACAGTTTAAAGGGAAAAATGGGAGAAACCTCGGGGAGAGCAACAGAGGAGGGATCCCTCTCCCAGGACGGACAGACGTGCAATAGATGCCGTGTGTAAATTGAAAAGATAATACATTTGCAACATAGGTAGTCCAAATGTTTGGAAATGCATGTGTGTATAATAGGAAGATGAATCCACGAGGATATCCATCCAGGACCTATGATCCAGGACCACAGCCACGACTCAAGATCCAGGGCTCGCGATCCAGGACAGAGGAGCGCAGGATCATCCATGACTCCGGATCCCGGCGTATATAGACACCAAAAAGAAAGACATTTGGGGAAGCTGGGTTAATCGGAACATGAGAGTACACAGGTATAGACAGAGAGAAGGAAGAAGTAAGATGTCCGCCGACAAACTAAGCCTATATCAGCAAAACTAGGGGCTGAATCTAATCAGACCTAACTGTAAGCTTTATCAAAAAGGAAGGTCTTAAGCGCACTCTTAAAAACGGATAGGGTGTCTGCCGCCCGAACACAAACTGGAAGCTGTTTCCACAAATGTGGAGCTTGATAAGAAAAGGCTCTGGCTCCCATTGTACTTTTAGAGACTCTAGGAACAACCAACAACCCTGCATTCTTGGAACGCAATGCCCTAGTAGGACAGTAGGGTATAATGAGTTCTTTAAGGTAAGATGGCGCCTGCCCATTAAGGGCTTTGTAGGCGAGAAGAAGAATTTTAATTTATATCCTGTGTTCTATAGGGAGCCAGTGTAAGGCAGCCAGAACAGGAGTAATGTGGTCCCTTTTCCTAACTCTGGTTAGTACACGAGCTGCAGCATTTTGAATCAGCTGAAGCGACTTGACTGACTTCTTGGTACACCCTGATAATAAAGAGTTACAATAATCCAGCCTTGAAGTAACAAATGCATGGACTAGTTTCTCTGCATCGTTTGAGGCAAGATATGCCTGATTTTTGCAATGTTACGTAGATGGAAGTAGGCGGTCCTTGAAATTGATTTTATGTGGGCGTTAAAGGATAAATCCTGATCAAATATAACACCAAGATTCCTTACAGTCTCACAGGAGGCCAAATTAATGCCATCCATAGTTAGTATATCCTTAGATAATTTGTTTCGTAGATTCTTCGGGCCAAGTACAATAACTTCAGTTTTGGTCGTGTTTAACATCAAAAAGTTTAAGGTCATCCACGTTTTTAAGTCCTTAAGGCAGTCTTGAATTGTATTTAGATGATTAATTTCATCAGGCTTGATTGATAAATATAGTTGAGTATCATCCGCATAACAATGAAAGTTTACAGAATGATTCCTTATAATATTGCCTAACGGAAGCATATATAATGTGAACAAAATAGGTCCGAGCACTGAGCCCTGTGGCACTCCATGGCTAACTTTGGTTTGCGTGGAAGATTCATCATTGACACGTACAAACTGAGAGCGTTCAGATAGATAGGACCTAAACCAGTCTAAAGCAGTTCCCTGTATGCCAACTAAGTGCTTTAGTCTTTGCAATAAGATACACTTTCCTCCTCGAATATTTCCAGGGGGCGTTTTTTCTGCCTTTCGTCCACTTCCTCTGCGGTGGGGAAGCAGGGCTTAAGACGGGCCACATGTACCACCTTTTGGTCTTCTCCGGTGTCTTCCCTTACTTGTACAAAAAGTACATTCATGTCATTGTTAGTGGAGGAAATGTAGCTTTTAACAGGATATTTGTCTTCTTTGGGTTTCTCTGCACGGCTGTCTAACACTATAGCCACTGTGGTTGCAAAACTGCTTCCTTTGCTCTTATTTCGATATGAATCAACAAGAGTCTTGGTCTTGAAAGCCGTCTTTGTACTATTAAGTTGATCGGGAATGTTGCCAAAAAGAGGGTCTTGAAGTATTCTAGCTTGTCTTTCAATAAATACAACAAGGTCATGTAATCTTGCTCTTTGATGGCTCCGCTCCAGAATGTCACAAGCTGCTGTTCTCCACTACTCCATGTCCTGCAGATCCCTCATTGCATTACAGCAGCCTCTCAGAAAAAGTGCATAACAGTGCAGTGACTTTCCATCCTCTGCCTTTATAGTTAAGAGCTTTTCCCATATATGCGTTTGCTATCTTGAGCCATCTCCAAAATGCAGTTTCTTAGCTTCAGCAAAGCCACTATTAGCATCCATATGAAGGCAGCTTCTCACCAGTTCCCTGCAGGATCCCGAACAGGGACGTGCACAGGTACGGGCTAATGTTGCCCGGGCAACAGCCCGTTTGCCATTTTTGTCTGACCTGCCCCTCTGGAGAGAGCAGTTTTTATTTGTTTTCTGTTGTGGCCGAATCAACATGATAAGCCCACAATTAGTATTGTAGCATCTCGCTGCGGGAAACACACCTTGTCAGCGCTGTCATCTGCCCCCAGTCATGTGACTTTGTTTACAATCTGACACCCCCAGCTGTGTCCTATCAACCTACCATATATAGGCATATAGCCATGCACGTGATACTGATGCACATATAACAAATAATAAGTGAGCCTTAAATTAATACATTTTAAACCATAATGTGACTCACAAAAATACCCGATAATTTACAGTTTAATCTAATTTATATTATTATTAAGCCTAACATTCAGACAATAATAACAAAAGGAAAATGGCTCTAACATAGTCATTTGTTCTGGGCATGTCATTTTCGAGCCTGAGGCCTGAAAAACAGGCTCAGGGCTTAACAGGTTAACTAGATGACAATGATCCCTCGCTCTACGCCTCCTGTACCTGTTCGCTCTGCTATCGCGTGAAGGGTCTGCTAACAAGCACAGACAGGTTAATGTTGTTGCACGTCACAAAGCCAGCCAATCGTTTATGGAGGCATTCAAATGTAAGACTGGTAAATTAACTCAGAAAACACAGATTTTCTTTGCATTAAGTCATACTGGGATGTTTGCTGTAATTCATTGCATGTGGCACAGCCCTACCTAGAAACAGTTCCACCAGCCACCACTGTGACTCAGATGTGTTTTATGAGGGTGTGACGGCGTCCTTTGTTTATCTCTCTTGGCCTTTTGTCATCATTCAAATATATAGCTATTTATACCGATTTATATTATTATAGGACACATGTTGAGTTTCTCTCTGCTCCCATAAATCCCCAAAATGTATTTGTTCTACAGGATGCATATCTGGGTGCATTAACACATTTAGCATGATTATAACAGAAGAAATATCAAATGCTTCACATGTCTTTTTAATTTTTGGGATTATTCATTTGTTATCTGCCAAATTCTGACAAAAATATAATAGGGGTGTCAGAGCGAATATTTCAAGTGTAACAAATACATTTTGGTTAGATACAACACATTACCATGAAAATTAGGGATGTAACGATACCAAAAACTCACGGTACGATAATATCGCGATTAAAAAGTCCACGGTACGATATTTATCGCGATATTGAAAAAAGAAAAAAAATGTGAATTTTTTTTTACTTGAATTTGTTTAATTTATTAAATGATACATTTGATTTGTACAGCATTTTATAGGATAGTAGTATTTTAAAGTGTCAACAATATAATAATCAGACCCTGCAATAGAATAACTCAAGTTTCACTTTAGTTTTTCAAGTAACTTGACTCTAACTCACTCACTCAGCGTAATCAAGGTTATCTTTTAGGAATATGAGCATGTCCACATTTCCAGGTAGAAGCTGGGATGTTTGGGCGTTTACAATATCCCCTGCTGTGGAGAAAATTATCTTGCTTGGTACTGATGTTGCTGGGACAGAGAGATATGCTTTGGCCATGGGTGACAGCAGTGGGTCAAACTGTGCATTGTCTCTCCACCTCTTCAAAAACAACACAGTTGTTGCCAAGAAGGTGAGGCTTATTGACAGGGCGAGATATAAATATACTGTTGGTACTTGTCAATATCTCTAGGTGTGTAAATGTAGCCCTGTAAATACGATATGCTTAAATCTGTTGTTTTATGTTCATGTTGTAACCTACTTGCTGCCATGTTGGACAGGTCTCCCTTGAAAAAGAGAATGATGATCTCAATGGGACCACCTGGTTGAATAAAGGTTTAAAAAAATAACATTTAATAAAAAAATAAAATGTAATAAAAAATTGCGGTATATTTTGTCCGTCTCACGACGGTATTGAGACATTTATTTATCGCGATATTCGATATATCGTTACATCCCTAATGGAAATACATTCAGATATTACATTTAAAGGGTTATATGAAATCAGCCTGGTCTTCTAGAAAATATGTTCCTATTCATCCAAACTGCATATGAGTGAAGGTGTATGACGTTGATACTGACTGTGTTTCTTCCTGCAGGATGGAAGATGAATTACTGGAGACGTTTATAGAGCATCTGAGGGGATGTGAGTGTGTTTTCAGTTTGATTCATACAGGTTACACTGATAAACACACTTCATAACAGACAGGAAGCTCACCTCTTCTCTTCACTGTCTTTACAGATACATTCTGATATTCAGGGTGGGGAGGGTTCCTCTAAAATGTATTCAGTTACTAAATACAGGTTAATAAATGTAATCAGTATCTTAATATAAGTATCAGAATATCAAACACCAGCAGCACAGTTTAAAAAAATCAGAAATAAAACCTGAGCAGACAGAAAATACTCTGTTTTAGTTGAACACACTCTCAGTAGATAAAGTGCTCTTCCTACACGTGTTAGGATCCCAGAGATGTGAGCTTCCAGGTTTCCACCTGCTGCAGAAAGAAGACTGGAAGTAACGTCTCTGAGCACCAGGAAAAGTGCTTTATAAATATCATGTATTTTATTGTTAGTCTAAATGAAAACCACAAAGCAGATTCAGGCAGTTCCTCTACCTGTTCCAAGTACTGGACTACACATACATATCATCTACACATGTTCCTGTGAAAGCTTCTTCACATGAGACTCTTTGGATAGTGACAGTAGATCAACAGCTGATGAAGATCAGGCGGTTAGACATCGTTCTCAGTGAATATGAGACGTCAGTCTGAATGGTTTCTGTCAGTCAGTAAAGTAGTTCATAAATGAACAGATGATAACCTGCAGCTGTTCTCTCCATCAGATGCCTGTGAACTGGAGCTGGACTCAAACACAGCTCACAGAGGACTCAAACTGTCTGAAGACAACATGAAGGTGACATCTGTGGAGGAGGAGCAGCCATATGCTGATCATCCAGAGAGGTTTGACTCCTGGAAACAGGTGATGTGTAGAGAAGCTCTGACTCGTCGCTCTTTCTGGGAGGTCGAGTGGAGCGGAGAGGTTACTATAGCAGTGACCTACAGAGGAATCAGCAGGAAAGGAGTCAGTGATGACTGTAAGTTTGGAGAGAATTATCATTCCTGGAGTCTGGAGTGCGCTGATGATGGTTACACTGTCAGGCAAAATAAGGAAATCATCACCCAAACCTCCTCCTCCTCCTCCTCCTCCTCCTCCTCCTCCTCCACCTCCTACTCTGGTAGAGTAGCAGTGTATGTGGATCCTCCTGATTGCTCTCTCTCCTTCTACAGCGTCTCCTCCTCTGACAAACTGACCCACCTCCACACCTTCAGAGGCATATACGGAAACTTATTCACAGTCAAGGAACCTCTCTTTGCTGGTTTTGGGCTCTTGTCTGGTTCCTCTTCAGTGTCTCTGTAGGTCTGAGAGTCTCTCCTCAGTGTCTCTGGTTCCTCTGCAGGTCTGAGAGTCTCTCCTCAGTGTCTCTGGTTCCTCTGCAAGTCTGAGAGTCTCTCCTGACGACAGAAACTGACTGCAGATCAGTTCAGTGTGTTCACCATCACACACACATCTGTCTCACACTCAGACACAACACATTTATCTGATTCCATCCCTATGGCTAACATCATTTTTAAACTTACAAATATATAACATTTCTACATTTACATTTGCTTGTTCTATATTTAGTTGTCTTGCGTGGGTTCAGAGAAACGTGTGATGTTCTTCGGGGTAACGATGTGTTTCCTCTGGTCTCCTGTGGTGCCTTGTATCCTCTTTGAGCAGCGTCAGTGTTTGCTGCCATGAACTGATTCTGAATCCAGTTTGAAGCCACATGTTTCCCATATGCAGTGTGGTATGCAATAATCAGACATATTATTCTTTTTATTCAAAAGATGACGTATTGTTTTTATAATGGTAGGAAACATCTGAAAACAAATTGCCTTCCTTAGCTTCCTCTTGAATAATACTGTAATGTTATAAATGTAAAACTGTGATATTTTTCTTCTACTACTTCTACCACTGGCTCAGATAATGAAGAACAACAAAATAAGTTACCATAGCTATGCGGATGACACACACATTTACGTAACAATTTCACCAGGAGACTATGCTCCAATTCAAACACTGAGTAAGTGCATTGAACAAATCAATGACTGGATGTGTCAGAACTTTCTCCAATTAAACAAAGATAAAACTGAGGTAATGGTTTTTGGAGCCAAGTCAGAACGTATAAAAGTTAGCGCTGAGCTTCAGTCTGCAATGTTCAAAACAACAGATAAAGCCAGAAATCTAGGTGTAGTCATGGACTCTGACCTGAGTTTCAACAGTCACATTAAAACTGTTACTAAATCAGCCTACTATCACCTAAAGAACATATCTAGGATTAAAAGACTAATGTCACAGCAGGATCTGGAAAAACTTGTCCATGCTTTTATCTTCAGTAGACTGGACGACTGCAATGGTGTCTTCACAGGTCTCACTAAAACATCTATTAGGAAGCTGCAGCTAATTCAGAACGCTGCTGCTCGAGTCCTCACTAACACTAACAAAGTGGATCACATCACTCCAGTTCTGAAGTCTTTACACTGGCTTCCTGTGTGTCAAAGAATAGATTTCAAAATACTGCTGCTGGTTTATAAAGCACTGAATGGTTTAGGCCCAAAATACATTTCTGACCTCCTGCTAAATGATGAACCATCCAGATCTCTCAGGTCTTCAGGGACTGGTCAGCTTTCTGTCCCCAGAGTCAGAACTAAACATGGAGAAGCAGCGTTCAGTTATTATGCTCCAAATATCTGGAACAAACTCCCAGAAACCTGCAGGTCCGCTACAACTCTGACTACTTTTAAATCCAGGCTGAAGACTTTTCTTTTTGTCGCTGCTTTTAATTGAACTATTCATATCTTAAACTGCACTGTAACTTTTATCCATGTATTTTTTCTTTTAATGTTTATTTTATTAGCTTTTCTTTTTAATGACTGATTTTAAATGCCATTTTCTTAATCTCTTTCATTTTTTGTAAAGCACTTTGAATTGCCTTGTGTTGAAAAGTGCTATATAAATAAACTTGCCTTGCCTTGCCTTGCCTTCTAATGTTTCTGAATATTTTGAATACAATATTTTCTTTTTATTCTGAGGCTGAGCTTTTGTTTTGTCATAAAGTAAAACTAGCACCAGAATCACTTCACACATCTTCTAACACGCCCCCTACCGGTTCTACTACTACATATATTTTGAAGGTTTAAATGCTATTACCTATTTTTTGGAGAACATTAAATAACGCCACATTGAAGTGCTTCCAACAACACTTGGATGGTCTCCTTTTGGTTATAATTCAATCCACCTTTAGTTCCACATCAGTTATTAGATTGTGTTTCAACACACTCATTCCCTAAGCGTCCAATAACGACGTTTGGTCAGTGTCCGTGGCGTCCAGTTGTGACGCTCCTAGGCTCCTTCAGCGTCATAAAGGGACGCAAATAGCGTTCAACTGATTGCAATGTATTCCCACCTGCGGCGGTATTTGAGGCTCATGGAAGCACGGCATTCGTTTGTGTCGGCTGCCCTTAAAGGCAATGTGAGCGTCCATTCCCATTGGATAACGGAGAATTGTACACCCGGAAGTAAGTATTCCTCTTACTGTCGATTGATTTTACAGTGATATCTGTACTACTCATCGACTAAAAAACACCAGATTATCCTTGTTAATTACACAACATTGATTGGTTTAAATTGTGTGCAATGCTTTTGTATTTTTCCCCTTCGATTCGGAGAAACAAATATTTTTTCGGAGTAAAGAATGGCAGAAAACACTACACTACCCAGAATCCCCAGCTATCGTTTGGACTACACCATGTGCTCTGTTTGACAAACCCCGTGATAGTCCTCAAGCTCTGTGATTGGTGAGTGTGCTCCGAGGGTTACGCCGATTCTCGAACAGCACTTGAAATGGGATGGAACCACGGCAGACTGTCCAAAACTGGATTTGAACGGGTCCACCGCGTCCCCCCCTCCCCCACCCCGTCCCCAGAACTACACATGCTGGCTATTCTGTTTCGCAACATGCTCTCTATCTATGGCACGTCTCTACTGGGAGTTGTAGTTTTAAAAGACGTTTTCGTATTTCCCATAATAAGAAGTTGCCAGTATTAAACTGTGTACATCCCTGGAGGTTTAGGGGATAGGAAACACTCAAATGTAAAACATATAATTAATAAATGGGTGAAAATTCCTTGTGCCCATAATGGGCAGCATTAATATATATACACACATGCCAGCTAAGGTCAGAAGAGCTTTATTTAACAGCTGGTCTTATGTTTGTGACCCCTGTTGTTAATTGATTACATTACATGAATTGATAAGCCTGAAACATGCACTTGTCAAGGTTCAGAGGCAAATTTTGCAAATATGGCAGTAGCCATCGATCAGCTTAAGATAAGATATAATTTATTGATCCCAGGTTGGAAACATTTGCGTTACATCAGCATGTGTTACAGTTGTACATTATGCAGTGGTGTTTATTTGTAAATCATTTAGTATAATCACACAAATTCTGTGTTTTATATTTAACAATTCTGTGTTCTTTATGTATTGATTGTTCAATACCTGACAAGGCCGGAGATGAAATATCTACATACATCTTATAAGGTTATAATACATGATGTATAATATCAGTTAAAATAAGTGCTTCAACATAGTTAACATTGCTGGAGGTATGCACAAATATTGATAGATGTCTTGTAATGCACTATTGAGGAACCTGCGACCCAAGTTTTTCATTCAATGCAGAACTACACCATAGTTGTGTAGGCCTATATGATATGTCAATAAACCTTAGAAAATCTTGAAATCTTGAAAGGGATGTGCAAAATAGTCATTATATACAGTCTTTAATGAACTATTAGTAGAGAATAACGAGTAATGAATATACTTTATAGGGATCCTATTAATATCTAATAATAAAAATAATGAAATTCAATAACATGCTTTAACCACTAGGTGTCCCTTTATATCAGGTGTGCACCTTTATGGTGTAAATACAGCCTATCTACCAATTGGATCAAATATAAAAGTCAGCCGAATTAGTGTTGATACTGCAAGGAGACGTATTGTGTGAAAAGAAATGTAAGATGTTGTTTAATGGCTGATATATTTATGATCCACGTCACGTTTTCAGTTCCTCATGTTTGTCTAGAAGTCTTCTCATCAGGGCTGTATAAATAGAGAACTACGGCAGATATGTAATATTTAATGCAGCCGAACCAATGCCGTTATGTGATGACTTTCAAAGAGAAAATCAAGCACACTCGGAATAAAGTATTATTTTATTTTTTTTAAATGTTTTCGGTCTGTTTCCGGTATTTGTTAATGACGATGTGCTGTGAGATGTGAGACTGGAATTGCACAGGGGAAAATAACGTATCTTTAGATGCGGATTTTGTTAAACTAATATGTTTTCGCTGTGGACCAACACTATACATTGACGGGGAAGGGGGTAGCAATAAAGATAACACCATTAAACAGTTACACAACATAACAGAAATAATATCGATAGCAGCGTCCCTAGCAACCACCTTGGTAACAATGAAAACGTCGCGATTTCCTGAAGTAATCTTCGTAATAATTAGCAAACTAAAGATCATGTACATCCACTGCACACATAATCTGAAATAACAACTCATATTTCTCGCATCAAATGACATCAAAACGCATTTTAATGGCCAAACTAACTTTAAAATAGGCATTTTCCACCGAGAATAAAACGAAGTTCGGCCATGTTTTATTTTTCTGCAGGGAGAAATTTGAAGATCACGTGACATAGACGACAGCCATTGGAATCATAGATATATATAAACACTAGATGACTCACCCGCGCTGCTGGCCAATGGAGACCGACGTTGCCACTTGGCCGCCATCTTGCTACAGGCAGTTCTCTCATTCATAACATTATGGTTGACTATTTAAATAACCATAGGTTGCTCAATTTTCAACCAATATTCAAACGGTTTGGTTTTTTATAAACATCAAAGATGTAGTTATGATACTGCATACTTATAATCATGGACTTTCATATGAAAATAACATTAATCAGATAAAGCAATAGCTATACACACACACACACACACACACACACACACAAGGTATTTATATTAAATATTTGCCGGTGTATATATTTCCATTTATTTTATTATATTGTTAATATTTAAAATAAATTATAAAATTAAAATAAATTTATATTTTATATATAAAAATCGGTCTCATGTTACCACTCTGTAAGCCAAGAGTTGTTAATTTAGCAATGCCTTAGCTTGAAGAACAGGGACACAACTAATGACAATAGCATATGTTGGTATATTATTTAGATATTCACACCTTTATCAGAAGAACCAAACCACCATGTGCTCACAGACAGGCCAGTGCTGTCTAATTTATCACAATTATTTTTGACATGAGATCTTCATATCATCCTAGTTTTGTATTTAGTTTCTAAATTTGTAAACAAATCCAGAACCTTTGAAATATGTTATTGAAAAAAGACCAAGAATAATATAAACTGTACCATGTGTCATTTTGTGTCCTTCTGTAGTCCATTTGTGGTTTGTCTTGTCTCACCCCGGCTGATATATCACAAAATCCACTGTTTGAATTGTTCCCTATATTGCCCCTATGCCCCTGTAAGGTGTCCTTGGGTGTTATGAAAGGCGGCCCCCCAAAATAAAGAAGAACAACTTGGTGTGGTGTGGAGGGGATGTAGGAAGCAGGAGCAGGTGGGGAGAGATGGGGCTTCAAGGTTCAAGGTTATTTGTTTTAAATGTGTCTTGGAGATAAGGACCAGCTGCACACAATACAATACAGTATAACACAAAACCAATAAGACACACGGTGGCACATGGCACACCAACAATCAATCATCGTCCAGCCTCAGCTTTGGTATTCTTTCACAACCATGTTATGGGTTTATTAGACTGAGCAAACAGAAACATATGTGGGGAACATAGTGCTGCGTCTCATGGAACCTGAAGATGTCCCTTCTTAGGGCGAGTTCCCACTGCCTCCTCCTCTCTTCGGTTTTGGGAAACCTTAAAAACATGAGAAAGGTAGCCAGATATATAAATTATTGTCAACATTTTCCTCCCTTCTTTCCTTTAACATTAAGGGTAAGGACAAAAATACACACCGAAATTATCATATTTTTGGTATGTATGCATGTATGTATAGCCTACTTTAAGAATAAGACAACCACACTAAGAGTAATAAAAAAGGTGTCCAAAAGAA